GTGAAAAGCTGCATGTTTGTAAGCAACAAATCCATCAAGACATTTTTAACTTCAAACCCCTATAGCCATGATATTGCTTTCTCCAATAAAAAGATTGTCTTGTCTGAATCAGGAGAGAAATATGCACAGATCAAACAGCATTTACAAGTGAAAACAGTCCAAAACAGTTCTAAACAAATATGCCAGTGATATGAGAGGACAACAGGGGATGGACTGGAGGAAGTATTATTATGGATTATGGATTGGTATTTTGGCCAGAAGCAACAGTTGAAGGTTAAAATGCTTTAATGATGGATTTGTTTTGTACAAACACGCAGCTTTTCACTTCTCAAGATTGTGATCTCAACTGTTTGGACTCATATTCTGACGGTATCCATTCACTGCAGAGGATCCATTAGTAAGCAAGTAAACTGTACCTTTACAGTGTCACAATTTATGTGAATTTCACCAAACCATGACTCCATTTCATTTATTTATTATGTTAAATCTCACAATTCAAAATCAGTGACTTTTTTCCCCCTCACAACTGTGACTATTTTTCACATTTGCAACTATTTCTTATGTTAAATCGATTTGACAATTACGTGTTGTACTTTTAACTTTGAGGTGGAAACAGGCCTTAAAGGGTTAGTTCACCCAAAAATGAAAATTCTGTCATTCATTACTCACCCTCATGTTGTTTCAAACCCGTAAGACCTTCGTTCATCTTCGGAACACAAATTAAGATATTTTTGATGGAATCTGAGAGCTGTCTGACCCTGCATAGACAGCAACGCAACGGAAATGTTCCCAAGTCCAGAAACGTAGCAAGGAGATCTGTAAAATAATCCATGTGACATCAGGGGTTCAACCGTAATTTTATGAAGCTACGAGAAGAATTTTTGTGCACAAAAGAAAAAAAACAAAAAACTTTATTTAACATTTCGTCTCTGGATACTCTCCAAAATGGCGCTACAGGGTGACGTGGAGGAGACGAATTGTTGAATAAAGTTGTTATTTATTCAACAATAAAGTATTTTTTTTCTTTTGCGCACAAAAAAAACTATTCTTGGACTTGGGAACATTTCAGTTGTGTTGCTGTCTATGCAGGGTCAGACAGCTCTCAGATTCCATCAAAAATATCTTAATTTGTGTTCCGAAGATGAACGAAGGTCTTACGGGTTTGAAACAACATGAGGGTGAGTAATGAATGACAGAATTTTCATTTTTGGGTGAACTAACCCTTTAACAGATCTCTGCACCTTAAAGCACACAGATTGTCTGAAAGCCTCCAGCTGACTTTAATATGCAGTGAGTGAGAGGAATTTTGGGTGAAAAACAGAAATGCACAGAGAGCTGAGACCTTTGGGGGAATCGGCCACATAGAGAACACATAGTCAGACATGTTATTCAGCGATGACCTTTCACTAAACACTGCCTGCTGTTCCCCAGGCAGTGAAAAAAAAAAAGATGGAGGAAGAGAAAGAAAGGAAAGGGGGCTATAGACAGAGAGCATCAACACACATATGCAACATTTAATATTAATATTGAGGATGTTCGTATCTTCTCCATACTAACATCTGTGCACTATGAATTGCCCAAATTCTAATACTGAAAGCAGTCAAACAACTAATTCAAGTGATGCCCGTTTTGAATGAAGACATCTTTAAGATCCATGGTAAACCAAGGCAAATTTTACAATTTTGAGATGCCTACCTAGACAGCATTCTTGTGTGTCATAAATGTGTTTAATGTTGGCTAGTCTCACACACATTTATTTAGAACATGCCTAAGATTCCCGAAAATGATTTGTTCTATAAATATGCCTGACAGATAAAAAGATGGCTTTACTTCTGTCATTACATCATTACAAGTACAGAATATGGTATTGGGGCTTTAAATATTGTCTGGAATGTGGGGGATCTTTGAGTCAAACATGTAAAGGTACCTAATATATAAATGTACTTGGGGTCTGTCGAAAATGCCCGAATGGAGAGCTGATGGGAAGCAGCAGTTGATTGAGAGAAGCAGGCCTATCTCACTTCCTGATGTCTGCTATCTCTCCTTAAAGTTATTTCCAAACGCTCAGCATCAGGAGATTGACTGTCAAATGGAAGTGATGTCTCCTGACAGAATAAAGACTAAAGGTTATTCACTCAGAATATTTTACCATCCGACCTGAAAGAGATGAGATAGCCGTGATAGACATGTGCTGAACGTTTAATGAAATTTACCTGTGAGCCTGTTAAAAACACATCAACTTCCCACCAAACCAAAATAGAGGAAAACATGACACCACAGAAGGAGGAAAAGTGACTGGGTCTGTGCTTGTGTGTAATCACGTTATTGGGTAGGACGTGTTCCAGACAGCAGTGAACCAGACAGATCCAGTGCCAGAGAGTGACTGGATTTACAGCAGTCACACATTAACACACATGAATCACGCTCAATATTTACTCAACTCTGTGTGCTGCCACTGAAAACATAGAAAAACACAAGCAAAAAGAGAAATTAAATGTGCACCCGGTTTAAATTGGTTTTTGGCCATGAGGCTTCCAATTATACAAGACATGTGTGCCATGTTTACAGTTGAAAATGTCTCATTTGCATTTTTACGCTCTATGAAAAATTTAGCAGACACATTTCAGATTAGTTCACGCTCAGAAAATAAACATCTTAAAGTCCATCCAGAAACTACCCAGGGTTCAGTCTACCACAACTTGAACTGTACGTTTTTTTTGGCTTTTTCAATGTGTCAATGCAAGCATGCACCTTCCCTGTGAGCCGAGTCTCTTTAGCAACTCTACCCAGAATTCCCAGGAGACTCATTTGACAATCAAGGCCAGTCTACTGTAATAGCATCTCCAGTCTGTTCCGGCTTCCAAACTGTCAGACTGATAAGTCATTGCTAGCAGACACTGGCTTCGTGTTTCTCTGGCTCAAATATCAAACCCAACAATATGTACCAGATGGAAGAAACACATACACATCATATACACACACAACTTAAGATTGAAGACAAAACAGTAACACTTGCTGTTTATACAGGTGCATCTCAATAAATTAGAATGCCGTGGAAAAGTTCATTTATTTCAGTAATTCAACTCAAATTGTGAAACTTGTGTATTAAATAAATTCAATGCACAGAGACTGAAGTAGTTTAAGTCTTTGGTTCTTTTAATTGTGATGATTTTGGCTCACATTTAACAAAAACCCACCAATTCACTATCTCAACAAATTAGAATATGGTGACATGCCAATCAGCTAATCATATAAAAGCATTCATAATGACATTTAACATACTGTCTGTTATCATTTCATAAATAATTGTAGCCATGTTAATATGCATTAAACAGAATAATACGTAATACACAAAATTTGGTACTAAACATGCAATATACTGTTTATTTTATTTTTTTTAATAAAAGTTACTAGCAGTGGTTACTATTATTTATGTAAAATTATTATTGGGTGAATCTAACAAAATAAATCATAATAAACTAATGAGGTGTATTTGTGGGACCGTAAAGGTTTTTGTATAATATTTTTTAAATATACAATACAGAGTTTTTTGAAATATAATACAAAATTAAATAATATTTGTTGTGCTGCATTTAATTTATCCTGATTTAATTAATAAAATACTGTAAAATATTCCGAAATAAAAGGAAATTAAACAGTGGGGGTGGGAATGAAGGGATGAAATTAAAACATCCAGACACATGATGGTAAAAATGCAGGAGAAAAATAAAATACAGAAAGGTCATGAAAATATAATCCAAAAAGGCTTAATTTTCTTAATGCCTACTGACTTGTATATGTAGCTTGTATATGAGAAGACATATTTTAATTTTGACCAACCGTCATGATTATGGTTTCCTTGCGTAGGTAGGAATATCGCAGGAGGACTCGAGCACACCACAGCTTCATAGAAAGCACTACTGATTAAGAATTGCATTTGTTGTGGACAAGTCAATCGTAACCTAAACCACAAACAGAGCAACACCATGAGAGAGCAGGTTTGAATAAGTGTTTTTCACAGAAGGCCTCTGGAACGATCAGCTGAACGAAAATCTGAATAAGCTATTGTGGAACGGTTCACTTATGGCAAATTAAAAGGCTAAATCAATATTATGTAGCAGAGTAACATTATGGCTTCCTTCCCGCACAAGCTCTCAATGGAAACCTTGAGGCTCTGAGCGCAGCAGGACTTCATTTCTTTCTTGCCCTGCCATTTCTTCGGACCGGATAAAGACTGATTCCTTTCATAAAAGACATTGTGAATAGGGAGTAAAAATGTGTGGTAAAAATGAAGGACAAGTTACCTTCTCTTAGTTTTGCACAGTTACATGCACACATTGTCCTACTGATGTGAAATTTTCAACAGTCAAACATCTTCATCCTCCACTGTTTCGCTTCCCTTCCTCTTTCAATAAAACCAAGAAACTCTGAACACCAGATTCCCGGAAGGTCAAGCCTCCAAGAGATGCACATAATTAACAAGTGTGAGGAATGTTAACTAAAGCTAAATGATGTTAATTGCTATTTAATGTTGAGGAAGCTAATGTGACAGTCACTTAAGAGGAAACTGGTTCCCCTTAGATTAATTTTTTATGCATGCATTTTTTTTAAAGAAAGTACAAAGTATCTCAATTCACAAATGCACACACACATATTTAACCCATGAGACCTTATGTGACAGAATCACATGTGTACATCTAGACAAAAACATTAGCATTTAGATCCGCAGATGGAAATCCACCAACATGTGGACCCACGTACTCATGTACACTCTCTCTTTCATATACAAACTCACGGTGCTGTATGTAAATCACATTATGAGCTGAAATTGCATGAACTCCACTCTGACCCCTGCACAAAGAAGTCAAGAATATTGTCAGAGTTTCTTTAACCATACAATTACATCCTTCAGGCAGCATGGTCTCATTATACAGACTTGTATAATGAAGCTGAAGCATTAGATAGCCCCTGCGCACTCCCACACAGTGCATTAGCATTACCTGATACTGCTCATGCTGCCACCTGTCTCAGATCCCAGTTTGCATCGCTCCAGCTGAGTAGCCACTATCTGACGTTCCGCCTCCAGCTCTCGAGTTAATCTTTCAAACTGCAGTTCCTGAGAAAGAGAGAAAGAGAGATGGTCAGTTAACAAATTTCCTTAAGCGCCATTACTCTACATCGCTTGTACTACAAACATGTGAAGATTACTGAAATACAACATTCTTATTAAAACTGTACACAGCTGACAGTAACAGCTAAACTAATGTTGTCCATTTTCTGAGAAAAATATAAGTGGTATTTAATTGTGCAAAAGTTGTTATTGGTATGCTAAAGCGTTCTTATGTGTTTGTTAATGTGTTCTGAGTGTTTTACCGTGTTGCTATGCATTTTCTAATGTGGCTTCTAATGTGTTCTTACTGTTTTTGCATTTTGCTATGTAGTTGTTGGTTAGGCTGGATGGATACTATTGATTAATCTTTATTTTAACAATATTGATCTGTTGATGCATGAACAAAACTTCACTAAACATTATTTGTAGGGTGCTTGCCATTCAATAATCACATTAAGCTTGTTCTTTGTTAATTTTCATAAGAAACAGTCTCAGATTTCAAATTCTCAGGGAACTCGCACAATAAATGTTGTTTTAACGTTCTTTAATGTGGCATGACAGATCGTTGTAGTCATCTCAGTTCAAGTGAAATAAACATGAATGAACATTAGAAGGTATGTTGAAATAAACAACAAAACTTACTCAAATGTATCATGTCTCAAGTAACTGCATTATATTTTACTTAATCTGTTAGTATTATTTAATATATTTTTGAATAAATCTTTCATGAAAACAAGTTTTTATCAAAGTCACCGTTTAGCGTTTATATGTTTATATATCAACAATGTACTGGAGTAGAACCATATTTAATATTAAATATAAAAACAGCCTCATGCGCAATTTAAATGTTTGTTTGGAAAGAAAACTTGAGTGTTTTTTTAGTTTTGATTATTATATCTAACAATAAACAGCAACTGAATTTAATAGTTTGGACTACGTTGTAAATATTAACTTTTAATATTATAGTAATGTACCAACTGACAGGGTTCCCTATTTATTTTACATCTTCAGTTGAGAGAGATTTGTTTCCTTTAGAAAAATTAACACGTACTGTACCTGATATAGTGAATGAATCGATTCAAATGAACTCATATCGAATCAAACTGAGATCAGAATCTAATTGAATCAAGATTCGGGTCTCTAGATTTGGCTCACGTTCCTCCTTCAATGCAGGTCTATGGGATCTGTTTGTCTGTTTTATTATCCACTAGGTATAAATTGTACATCTGATCATTTAGAAAAGTAAAATATCTTCTTCTGGACAATCTGAGGTAACACACTAGTACTTAGAGTTGGAGGTTTGTTCATATGCCTAATCCAATAAAGCCTAAAGCAAGAACCACTAATTACATTCAATATGTCATTAAAAAATTTCCTATAGAGGGCACATTTTGTTCCCTCCTATAATTATATTGAGTTACAAACTTATTTTAGATTAGATTAAACTCTCGTCCCATAGAGAAACTTCTGTAGAATTTGTGGAGCAGTGTGCCTGCCAGCTATAAATCAAACAGGCAGACCTCCGGCTGGCCCTGAGAGATGATAATCACCACTAACGCCCCAGCTGGGACAGAAAGTGCACCATCAGCACCAATAAAGGCCTACTCCATAACCAGACGGCACATATAATCACTTAGACAGCCAGCCCCAAGCTGCCCCCTCCAGGCAGCCAAGATTAGAGCCTGAAGCCCGGCACCAGGAAACAGTGCTTCCTCCAATGAGAAGCCTTAAGAGAAGGACAAAAGACCTGCACGAGAAGTGTTTTTATTCCAGCACATCAGGGTTGAGAAACAGTCCAGAACAGGGAAATGGAGATAAAATTCAGAAAACAATCAGACACTCCACAGCAGGATTTCTTGTCACCGGTACCGGTTTTAATTACAGCTGGGCAGGAGGGTCGATGGGGGTCTGATCCGTAACCACATGCATACGAGGGTCGTACAATTGGAGAGTTTATTGGTCCAGCTCTGAAAGCCATTTGTGGACTGAATCAAATGATGGAGTGTCCAGCCAGGCCCTATTTTCAGACACCAAAACAATAATTTATCAATTTTTATCCATTTTCAATTCCAAAACACCCCTCTTCATCCGCACTTAATCACAACCAACCAGCTCTAAGCCAACAAACAAGCCAGCAAACCACAGAAGTGCAATAAATTTAACTGCTTTCCTCTCCATCTTGCTCTCTCAACTCTCTCTTTCTCACACCGTTCACACTTCTCCCATAAGATTTTTCGCATCTCACATTTGTGCAGTTCAGGACACTGACACATTAAAAGAGGATATGGACTGTGGAATGCATCCTGCCCACAGAGAGATACATCCTACTGTAAGTAATTAAATCCAAAGAAAGATGCCTTTGCATGGCTGTGCTCTCCATTTAACAGAGCTCTTTTCAGATTAGTCTGAGCAATATATTGAATAATAACAATACATTTTGTCGGAGATAAATTGTACATGTGCAACACTTGGCAACTATGCTTTCTAAAGATTGTGTCATAAAATCAGTTTTGCATTCCCTCCCGGCACATTACATGCGGGTATATAAGCACAGAGACATTGTTATGTCTTATGTCTCTTATTTAAAATTCAAAAACAGTTGAGTTGGTAGTTTGTTCATTAGCTTAAATCAGTTCAATCTGGCTGTATTAATCAATCAATTAGAAACTCTGTGTTTTGCATCATCAATGAAAAACATTCACAAATATACAAAGCATTAAAATGACATGGTGATGAAAAAAAATTAGAATGCAATGAGAGGAAGACTTATAAATAATGCTAATAATGCAACTTTTGCACTCTCTCTCTTTCTCTCTGAAGTTTTCTGAGAGAACGCAAACGTCTTGAGACAGAGAAAGTTGTGCAAGCAAATTCTCAGAGAAACTTTGAGTTCCCCTAAGAAACTAGTCGCAAAGTTTCTTAGGGGAACTCAAACGTCTTGGAAAAAAGTTAATTGCAAATAATAAATATGTTAATATATGAATCCTCTGATCAGATATTCTGGAGCAATAACACTGTCAAACAAGGTGAATTATTGTCGCAAACCACTAATAATGAAGATAAACCAGCAGCACCTGTTGATCAGAGTTAAAAGAAAATAACTGCAAGGAAATCCTTTACATGCAAACTAATGCATAATTCAAATTTTTTAAATAACATAATGAAAACTGACAGCTAAGTGTGACTGAAATCTACCAATAAAAACCAGTATAAGTAAGGCTGGAAATCCAATCAATGAGAATTAGCGCCAATGAATAGGGTTGCTTTGCTGTATTATACCATACCTAATGAGAAACACAACAGATGTCTAAAAGGAAAAGAAAAAAATAACTTGCATGAACATCTTAACCGGACATCACTAATTATCAAAGCATACATATAATCCAGTTAAAGTTCAGAAACTTCAAACTCAACCTTTAAATCACAAACATTTTCTTCCTTCCTTTCCCAGCACAAATCAGGACAAAATAGCCGTACCTCGTCTCACACCACACACCTGAGCAACCGGCCGCAGAGATCAGTGTAAAGCCAACCCGTCGACCATCCTTCCACTTAGCTCTTCCCATTGAAGAAATTCCTCAACTCATTACAGGCGCGGCTGGTCTGCCAGCGCAGCTTCCAAGCGCCTCCCGCACAACACTGGCTCAGTCAGCCACAAAGGTCTCCATGGCAACAGAGGACCCAGCGCCCCCCTCTGGCATTATTTATGCAACATTTCATCTCTGAAAGTCCCACCCACCAGCCAGACTGCCAAACCGAGTGTCCCTCCAATCGCTCTGCCATCTGCCCCTTTTCGCAGGACTATTTGTGCCCGACACCTCAAAGACCGGGCGAGAATTTCGAGTGCCTTTGGGGTGAAACGCTAAATGCCTCTCTACACCATTCTTCCTCCCCCTCCATCCATCCCTCAGCGCACTGAAAAGCCTGAGAACTTTCACTGTCTGTTCCACATCAATACAAGCCTGGAAGTCAGTGTTCCTGAGAGAGACAGAACGATTTATCTAAAGCGCTGTGCCGGAACATGTTTAAATACAATGGAGACCCGGAGAGGCTGTGTGTATTAAAGGAAAGAGGGATGCCAGAGCATTTCGGCAGCCAAAACTTCTCAAGCCCTTTTAGCGGTACCAGATATTCATTATTTATTGAAAGGACACTATTGACAGCATACAGCTAAGTGACCTGCCTGTCTATGGTCAGAGTAAATGAGAGATGGTATTGCGTTTAACTAAACCAATCTAAGCATCATAAAAGCAGGGGCTTCAGAGGTTTAGCTGCTGCAGCAATAAGCCGGTAAAATAAAAAGGAAAAATGTTGCTGACCACCTGCTTCGTGTTCCCTCAATAGGGCTGGTCATTGATGAAAGCTGATTGATAAAAGGTTACTCTCGCCGTTCTCATGCATACCAAGTGTGCTGTCACCCTCTCGCCTAATAAGCTCCTCTCTTTCGTCTGATCTCTCCATCCTTACAGATGAGCTGGAGAAGATGGTCAGGAAGGTTTCAGGCAAGCCATTGCTGAATGCAAAGGGAATGAGATGCTCTTTATTAGAGATTCACAATATATTGGTATTGAAGATTTATCTTAATTTATAGGGCAATAATCAATATTTAATTGTGAATGTTTGCTTACTCCTCTAATTTTTGCACTTATATTACCATTGCTGTCTTCTAATACTCACTTAAAGTTAACCTTTAAAACACTAATACATATGTTATCTATATGTTATACCAGCAATAATATGAAGATAATTACTATTTTTAGTGGCTCAAAATGTATAATATTATAATTATGCAGCAAATCAGCATATTAGAATGATTTCTGAAGGATCATGTGACACTGAAGACTGGAGTAATGGCTGCTAAACAATTTAGCATTGCCATCACAGAAATAAACCAGATTTTTATAAAATATTAAAATAGCAATGTAATTGACATCTCATAAATATATTGTTCTTGTGTTGTGTTGTCCCCATTTTGTACACCGATGGTTTCATTTGCACTGATCAGC